AGAGAGAGAGAGAGAGAGAGAGAGAGAGAGAGAGAGAGAGAGAGAGAGAGAATATTATACACCAATAAATACTTCGTTTTACTGAGCATTTTTACGGCACTCGCAACACACATATGTCTTGTGTCACGTCGAACAGGCTACTGTTGCGGGGCATTTCACCCTCAGGAGAGAGTTTTCGTTTTAGTAAGAGTTTTACGGCACTTGCAACACAATAAGGCTATATAAGTGCCGAAGATTAGAGGTGTTACAAGGGAGTAAAAAAACACAAAAAGAACGAGGAGAGATAAAGACGATAGATACATCATGTTTGATAGGAAAGGAGGAGCAAACCACACCACAGCACCCTCCAACCACAAGAGAGTAACAAACACAAAAAAGAAGGAGGAGAGATAAGGACGATAGATGTTTGATCGGAAAGAAGAAGCAAACCACATCAGAGCACACGCCAACCACTCACGATAGATGTTGGATAGGAAAGAAGGTAAGTGCCATGGGAGCGCGTCAGTGTTACAACCACACGGGCTCAGATAACAATTTATTATTCACGAAAGCGAAACCTGGACATTCTATCGGGCACGTGAAAAACAAACAAAAAATTGACACGTTCATTTGATTGTGTGTGTGGGAGGTGTGAGAAATAACACGGAAATTTGAAACTGTTACGTACGAGGTGTTTAACCCTATCCGTACGCCCTACGGTCATTTTGTGCCCCCGGAGTTGCATTCGTCAGATTATTTTAGAATAATTCTAGTACGAAGATCTCTTTGAAACTTTTGACTTATTTCTCAAAAAATCATTTTGACAGACTCCTAAGCAAAGCCAACGGATCGGATTAACGAGTAATTTCCTCTTTGGAAAGCGGCGGCACAGAGTTCCCCACATCGTATGGATACGATAGTAAAACACGATGTACGGATATGGTTAAACAGCAATAACCGTAGGGTTAAACAGCAGCAACCGTAGGGTTAAACAGCAGCAACCGTAAGGTTAAACAGCAGCAACCGTAAGGTTAAACAGCAGCAACCGTAAGGTTAAACAGCAGCAACCGTAGGGTTAAACAGCAGCAACCGTAAGGTTAAACAGCAACAACCGTAAGGTTAAACAGCAGCAACCATAGGGTTAAACAGCAGCAACCGTAGGGTTAAACAGCAGCAACCGTAGGGTTAAACAGCAGCAACCGTAGGGTTAAACAGCAACAACCGTAGGGTTAATCAGCAACAACCGTACGCCATTTCCGCTGAACTTTCTCACCTCTGGAACCCGGTGAGGTCTTGGAAAAACTCGTACGTCACCGGGGTGAACGTGAATTTGATAGGGGGGGGGGTGGTATTTGATAGGAGATTGGTTTGTTTTAGTAGGCGTTTTACGGCACGTGCAACAAAATATTGTCTTGGACAGGTCAGGTGATTGTCTTGGACAGGCGACTGTCTCGTACAGAAGTCCGACAGCACTTGATAAAACAACTTCTCCACGCAGGAATCGAACTCAGGCCTTCTGCCTCAAACAGCTCAGAGCCTAATTGTCACACATTACAGACATCAGTACTTCAAAGCTATTTTTTTTTTTCGTAAGAGTTTTACAGCACTTGCATCATAATAAGGTCATAAAAGTGCCGAAGATTAGAGGTGTTACAAGAGAGTAACAAACACGAGAAAGAAGGAGGGGAGATAAGGACGATAGATGTTTGACAGGAAAGAAGAAGCAAACCACACCAGAGCATCCGCCAACCACCTACGCATCAGTACTCCAAAGCTAATCTAGTTCACCAAATTGCGTAAAACGGTGACCCATTTTTTTTTCAATCACGAAAAAACAACAACAACTGGTATTGCGAAACGCTTACGGAATTTACAGATCAGCTTCACCAGCCAGACAGTAGTTTGTCCACTGTCGAGTTGTCAGCTAGACCACAAGGAAGACCAAACACGTCACACCAAACCACTCACACCTCGCCCTCTCGAATGGGAGAAGTGGGAAGTAGCAATCCATTCAACGTTCACTTCAGCGAAAACATTTTATAATTAAAACAAAAAACCCCAAAACAAAACAAATTAAAAAGAAAACAAGCTCTGATGTTCCGTCAACACGGGTCAATAATATCAAGACCCCCTCCACCCCACCCCACACACACACAAAAAAACAAAAACAAAAAAATAAACCAAAACAAACAACCAACAACCCCCCCCCAAG